TGGTTAAAGTTGTGGGGATGTTTGTAGTTGTGGAAATGGTTGTAGTTGTGGCAATGGTTGTAGTTGAGAGGATGGTTGCAGTTCTGGTGATGGTTGTAGTTGTGGCGATATTTCTAGCTCTGGGGATGGTTGTTGTGCCGATGGTTGTAGTTGTGGCAATAGTTGTAGTTCTGGGGATGGGTGTAGTTATGATTGTTGTAGTTGTGGCAATGGTTGTAGTTGTTGGGATAGTTGTAGTTGTGGTGATGGTTGAAGTTGTCGCGATGGTTGTAGTTCTGGCGATGGTTGTAGTTCTGGCGATGGTTGTAGTTGGGGCAATGGTTGTAGTTGTGGATTTGGTTCTAGTTCTGGGAATGGTTTTAGTTTTGGGGATGGTTGTAGTTATGGCGATGGTTGTAGTTGTAGATTTGGTTGTAGTTGTGGGTTTGGGTGTATTTGTGGTGGTTGTAGTTGTGGCGATGCTTGTAGTTGTGGGGATGCTTGTAGTTGTGGGGATGGTTTTAGTTGTGGGAATGGTTGTAGTTGTGCGGATGGTTGTAGTTCTGGTTATGGTTGTGGTTGTGGGGATGGTTGTTGTTGTGGCGATGGTTGTACTTCTCGGGATGGGTGTAATTATCATTGTTGTAGTTGTGGCAATGGTTGTAGTTGTTGGGATAGTTGTAGTTGTGGCGATGGTTGAAGTTGTGGCGATTGTTGTAGTTCTGGAGATAGTTGTAGTTTTCGCGATGGTTATAGTTCTGGCGATGGTTGTAGTTTGGGCAATGGTTGTAGTTGTGTATTTGGTTCTACTTCTGGGAATGGTTTTAGTTGTGGGGATGGTTGTAGTTGTGGATTTGGCTGTAATTGTGGGTTTGGGTGTATTTGTGATTGTTGTAGTTGTGGCGATAGTTGTAGTTGTGGCGATGCTTGTAGTTGTGGCAGTGGTTGTAGTTCTGGCGATGGTTGTAGTTTTGCCGATGGTTGTAGTTTTGGGGATGGATGTAGTTGCGCGAATGGTTGTAGTTGTGGCGGTGGTTGTAGTTCTGAGGATGGTTCTAGTTAAGG